ATTAATTTGGTGATGATGCTATCTAAAAAAAAGTTTACGTAAGCAACTTGACCGACTGTGGGTTTTACGGTTCCCTTACAAGAACCCGTTAAAAACAATAATGTGGAAAACAAACACAAAATATAAAGCTTGTATAAAGAATTTAAATGTGAGGCTAAGTGGTTAAAAAATAGAAATAATAACAGCAAAAACATGCTGTTTTGTTTCAGCATGTACGTGAATTAATTAATTAATGGGGTTTTTGATATACCAAAATTTCTTTGTGCTTTGGTTATAAATCACTCCTTAATTTTATAGTTTACATTTTAAGCTATGAATTAGGAAAGAATGTAGAAGAAAATATGTTAGTACAACTAAATATAACAGTAACGTATAATAGTCACAAGGATCAAATGCGAGCCCTGTATTCTACTTAAGATTCCTTTCTGCTGTTAGAAGCCTAATGAATCACATAACATACGACACCCAGTTAACACAACCCTGGGGTCACATTAGTTACACTCTAAACCTTACTGCAATGCATTATCAAATGTTCAACTCCCCTTGAATTACATTTGTTACCTTAGTTCACAAAGTATACACTAAAACACCTTTACGACTAACTCTATCGAAGGAAGCAATCCTTTCTTATGTATATGAGTGGTGTTTTTGTACGTAACACTAAGCGTAATAATGTATATACATTTATAAATGTTATTTCCTCCCCAGATGCGGCCATTCCGTCACGGAACGTTTAAACGTTAACAGCTCACGTTAACTTATCGTACAAGGAAAGCGTTTCTCAAGTGTCATGTTACCGTCACCTCGACATTCTTAGAAATACTCAACGAAAAAGAAAATCTACTGCGTGAACGTGTGTATTTGCAGACAGAAGCGAGTTAAATATTTCTGCCTGTACAAATATCTTGCGTCATAAAGAATTACGAAAATGAATACATTTGCTGTTAAATACATTTTAATCAAATCATTCCATGAAAGTAAATAGTTACTTTTTAAATCAGACTGCTGTCAGGTATATATGAAAATAATATGTAGCCTGTAACCACTCATAATTTTTTCCCCTTTTTATGTCAAGATCGTATTTTTGATTGATTTGTACCTCGTAGCTTGCTCATAAAAGTGTAGTATACATAATTGAAACTTGATAGTCACAGTTTGTTTCAATTGGTGTATTTTTTTCTTCAAAGTTAAATATTTACCGGGCAATGTGGTTCTATTACAAAAGATGCGTGAATGAATAAAACAAAACAATATTTTAAATTCATGTAATCTAAAAAAAATTTTTATAAGCATATCTTGATTCACAAATAATTATCAGTTTTCTACGTTCCTGCCATAAATCACAAGTTTTGCCATTAAAATCATTTCATTACCTTATTGATATAATAATGATTTCCATCAGTTTTGTTTACTATTTGCAATCAAAGTTAGTCAATTACTTCCATGAATAGTTAATTATTTTCATGGATTTTGATAGGAATAGAACTTACAAAAATCACGATGACAACGAAATAACGCTTTCAACAAAACTATGATGAGGTTTACCTAAAAAATCATTCCATATAAAAAACTAAGGATAAATTCAATAGTGTTCATGGTACAATCCCAAGATGAAAATACGTAGGTTAATGTTTTGCCAACAATATAGGTTAATCTATGTAGAGCGTACTACCAAAGAACCTTGATTAAACGCATAAGCCAATGTATTATATACTTGTCTATTACACGGGGTCAATTTACTTGATAGGTTATCTCATCTATTGGCTGTGTACACAAGCTCTGCCGGTCTCAGATCACCAACCTTATGGTTAATAATGGCCAACAATATCAGTAAACGATTACTTATAGATTTACATTCTTCTCATATATTCAGTTTATTGTATGATGTTCAGTTATATGTGTAACAGTAAAGCTTAGTTCTATTGACATTGTGAGTATAGTCTTTGCAACTAGATCACTGCGGGAATGTAGATTTATTCAGTCAACTTGTTTATAATTGTTCACAATGAGGAACAAGATTACAAATTCCAACAGTCATATTTGCTAGGGTTTCTATTTTGTATTATTATGTTGGATAAGGATACATTACTGACGTTCTTTCAACTAAATTATAATGTTTAACTATGTAGAGTACAAGATGAATACTCTTCTAAAGCTAAGAAATTTTAAAATTCAAGTTCAAACGTAAACGCATGTAGAATTATATTGCTGTAATCTGGCTACTCTTATAAACAATAATTGATTTTTATCGTGCTGAGAGTGTGGTAAACCTTTATATCATTTAATTTTGTACACATAAGATTTTATAAAAAGTGTGATAATGGACACGATTCAAATTCAGGGCTTGCTCCATTTAGCTTGCTCAGTGTTTATCCCTTAATACTTAACTATTTTACAATAAATCCGCGGAATCTTAATTAAATTTAAATAATATTCAGTAAAAAGATGCATAGATCAGAAGTAGTCTATATTTTTAGGTCTACACAGCAGTTAGTTTATTTTAAATTTTATAAATGGTATGAAATTATATTGTTTCTTAAGCAGAAGTCCTAAATAAGTTAGACATTAGTGAATATTTCATAATATCTATTAAAATAATATTTTAACATTGTTAAGTAACTTGCCAACACAACCAATTGATAAGCCTACTGTTTTTAGCGAATTTCCCATATAGGGAATAAGCTATTACCGTAGTACTCATGGTAAGACCTGGACCCGGAACCGATATAATTCTTTATTTTGAGGTCCCTAGAGGCCAAAAACACCATCCGTTCAAATTCATCCTACTAATATTATAAATGAGAAAGTTTGGATGTATGTTTGTGACAGGTGAACGCGAAAAATACTGGTCGGATTGGGCTGAAATTTGGCATGATGATAGCTCAAATTCCCGATTAACATATAGGCATATTCTTATTTCAAAAATCCTTTTGGGCTCCGCCCCAATGGCTCTGGAGTATCCCATGTTAACCTTATGAGAAATGGAATTATTGAATCTTAACAGCTGTTTCAATTAAACAAGTTGGTTCTGTTCTATGATGTTCAATAGCATTAAAGTTACAAGGATTACCAACAGGTTGCAGCACTATTATTTCTTTTACATTTATGACAACAGCTAATTTGCAACCAAAAGGTGAGTGAGCGTAGCGAACGAACTTCAACCTGGAGGCGAGTTAGCGTAGCGAACGAGCTCCAACCTAAAGGTGAGTGAGCGTAGCGAACAAGCTCCAATCTGGACGTGATTGAGCCATGCGAACGAGATAATCTTGAAAATTAAGAAGTTAAACGGGGCAAAGCCCGCGGGTTACAGCTAGTGTATATATATATATATATATATATATGTATATGTATATATGTATACATACAGTATATATATGTACCACCGTTAGCGCGATAACTCGAGCAAAAATGATCCGATTTTGATTAAATTTGGTACAAACGTGTAAACCTACGTTTATTCGAACGAGTTCGCGAACCAGGATAATCGGACCATGGGAACGGGGTTTTATGGGGTAAAAATGGGTTTTTGCCATTTTTTACTCTAAAAACAAAAGAATTTGCAATTTCTTTTTAAACCGTTTTGTAGAGCTTAAAAAAGAAATAATTTAGTATACTGAAGCGCTGTTGTATGCCTAACGGTTACGGAGAAAATTCAAAAATAGTGTAATTTTAAATTCCCACGTTATTTTTATGGAGAAAATGAAAACTGTTGTAGTTTACTTGTTTATGGATATATGTTGATAAAATTTTGCAAATTTATTTATTTCATCCTATATCATGACGTATGGTCAGAGAACCCTTTTTACCTCCCCTTTTTACCTTCCCTTTTTACCTTTCCTTGCTGCTCCATTTATCGTAGTAGCAAACCTAAGCACTCGTTAAATCTAATGTTATTTAAATTGGGAATAAATATGTCTTATTCATGGAAATATTTTAGTAATAATGTAATCAGACAAGTTGAAATTCGCTTAGTCTGCAGGTTTGCTGCGGCGGGGGTATTTTAATATACTTTAATATTTTGTGAATAAAGAATGTATGATATTATAGCCATATGTTTCGTCCAAATTGGTCATTTAATGAATATATTTTTACTGTTTGCAAACTAAAACATTAGTCATTAAAAAGTACTTTGCAAAATTGAAACACACATTTAATGGTGCAAACTCACTATTGATGCGGCTATCGTCATATTGTTCGTTGCAAAGAGGATTGTTACCACCAACAATACCACTAATGGAACTTAGTGTAGTCAATTTCGGACTGTTTAACTTTCATCTCTATTTAAATTTTCCCGGTAGTGAGGGCTGCTAAATTAACCAGAACATGTAATTAATTTATATGTTTGTACTCTGTGGGCCGTTGTTTTCTCACTTTTACTGTAATTTGAGCAGTTGTAGGTATATAAATACACTAACTATACAATACATTTATAAGTTGTAATGTAATAACTTTGGACACAACTATACTCAATAATCCATTTATTAGAGTTATATATATCGGGCACCAAACACTATCCTAATTTATAACCCAATTTATTCGCCATACTTCCAAAAGGGATTATCTAAGCGTCAAAATAGTTGTAACTTGAAGAACAGGAATTAGTAAAAATTCGAATGACTTGTTAAACAACCTGTAAAATTCGCAGTAATTAAATAAATCTCGCAAAAACCTAAAACTAAGAACCCCCCACTTCAAAAATACTTAATTAATCTCAATTTTGTAAAGTAGGATGATTAATTTAAATTAGTAATTCAAGTTTCGGACGAATATCAACTCTTCTTAACAGCTAAAAACGTCATACTCAGTTTGTAAGCAATTATAACCGGAATTCATGAGTAAAACTGTATACACATGACATTATGTCAGGAGAACGTCCCATGGGTGTGTGTTCTGGATCTGCTGGAGCATGGAGCCAGGATAGCGGTGGCCAACAAGGCTGGAGAGACGCCTGCTGAATGGTATTGGTCACCACTAACGTAACTATGTACATATGGTTACAGGACCGTCTGGGTAACACGGCTCTACACCTGGCTGTGTGTCAGGAGAACGTCCCATGGGTGTGTGTTCTGGATCTGCTGGAGCATGGAGCCAGGATAGCGGTGGCCAACAAGGCTGGAGTGACGCCTGCTGAATGGCATTGGTCACCACTAACGTAACTATGTACATATGGTTACAGAACCGTCTGGGTAACACGGCTCTACACCTGGCTGTGTGTCAGGAGAACGTCCCGTGGGTGTGTGTTCTGGAACTGCTGGAGCATGGAGCCAGGATAGCGGTGGCCAACAAGGCTGGAGTGACGCCTGCTGAATGGTATTGGTCACCACTAACGTAACTATGTACATATGGTTACAGGACCGTCTGGGTAACACGGCTCTACACCTGGCTGTGTGTCAGGAGAACGTCCCGTGGGAGTGTGTTCTGGATCTGCTGGAGCATGGAGCCAGAATAGCGGTGCCCAACAAGGCTGGAGTGACGCCTGCTGAATGGTATTGGTCACCACTAACGTAACTATGTACATATGGTTACAGGACCGTCTGGGTAACACGGCTCTACACCTGGCTGTGTGTCAGGAGAACGTCCCATGGGTGTGTGTTCTGGATCTGCTGGAGCATGGAGCCAGGATAGCGGTGGCCAACAAGGCTGGAGTGACGCCTGCTGAATGGTATTGGTCACCACTAACGTAACTATGTACATATGGTTACAGGACCGTCTGGGTAACACGGCTCTACACCTGGCTGTGTGTCAGGAGAACGTCCCGTGGGAGTGTGTTCTGGATCTGCTGGAGCATGGAGCCAGGATAGCGGTGGCCAACAAGGCTGGAGTGACGCCTGCTGAATGGTATTGGTCACCACTAACGTAACTATGTACATATGGTTACAGGACCGTCTGGGTCTCTACACCTGGCTGTGTGTCAGGAGAACGTCCCGTGGGAGTGTGTTCTGGATCTGCTGGAGCATGGAGCCAGGATAGCGGTGGCCAACAAGGCTGGAGTGACGCCTGCTGAATGGCATTGGTCACCACTAACGTAACTATGTACATATGGTTACAGAACCGTCTGGGTAACACGGCTCTACACCTGGCTGTGTGTCAGGAGAACGTCCCGTGGGAGTGTGTTCTGGACCTGCTGGAGCATGGAGCCAGGATAGCGGTGGCCAACAAGGCTGGAGTGACGCCTGCTGAATGGCATTGGTCACCACTAACGTAACTATGTACATATGGTTACAGGACCGTCTGGGTAACACGGCTCTACACCTGGCTGTGTGTCAGGAGAACGTCCCGTGGGAGTGTGTTCTGGACCTGCTGGAGCATGGAGCCAGGATAGCGGTGGCCAACAAGGCTGGAGTGACGCCTGCTGAATGGTATTGGTCACCACTAACGTAACTATGTACATATGGTTACAGAACCGTCTGGGTAACACGGCTCTACACCTGGCTGTGTGTCAGGAGAACGTCCCGTGGGAGTGTGTTCTGGACCTGCTGGAGCATGGAGCCAGGATAGCGGTGGCCAACAAGGCTGGAGTGACGCCTGCTGAATGGCATTGGTCACCACTAACGTAACTATGTACATATGGTTACAGAACCGTCTGGGTAACACGGCTCTACACCTGGCTGTGTGTCAGGAGAACGTCCCGTGGGAGTGTGTTCTGGATCTGCTGGAGCATGGAGCCAGGATAGCGGTGGCCAACAAGGCTGGAGTGACGCCTGCTGAATGGTATTGGTCACCACTAACGTAACTATGTACATATGGTTACAGGACCGTCTGGGTAACACGGCTCTACACCTGGCTGTGTGTCAGGAGAACGTCCCGTGGGAGTGTGTTCTGGATCTGCTGGAGCATGGAGCCAGGATAGCGGTGGCCAACAAGGCTGGAGTGACGCCTGCTGAATGGTATTGGTCACCACTAACGTAACTATGTACATATGGTTACAGGACCGTCTGGGTAACACGGCTCTACACCTGGCTGTGTGTCAGGAGAACGTCCCGTGGGAGTGTGTTCTGGATCTGCTGGAGCATGGAGCCAGGATAGCGGTGGCCAACAAGGCTGGAGTGACGCCTGCTGAATGGTATTGGTCACCACTAACGTAACTATGTACATATGGTTACAGGACCGTCTGGGTCTCTACACCTGGCTGTGTGTCAGGAGAACGTCCCGTGGGAGTGTGTTCTGGATCTGCTGGAGCATGGAGCCAGGATAGCGGTGGCCAACAAGGCTGGAGTGACGCCTGCTGAATGGCATTGGTCACCACTAACGTAACTATGTACATATGGTTACAGAACCGTCTGGGTAACACGGCTCTACACCTGGCTGTGTGTCAGGAGAACGTCCCGTGGGAGTGTGTTCTGGATCTGCTGGAGCATGGAGCCAGGATAGCGGTGGCCAACAAGGCTGGAGTGACGCCTGCTGAATGGCATTGGTCACCACTAACGTAACTATGTACATATGGTTACAGAACCGTCTGGGTCTCTACACCTGGCTGTGTGTCAGGAGAACGTCCCGTGGGAGTGTGTTCTGGATCTGCTGGAGCATGGAGCCAGGATAGCGGTGGCCAACAAGGCTGGAGTGACGCCTGCTGAATGGCATTGGTCACCACTAACGTAACTATGTACATATGGTTACAGGACCGTCTGGGTCTCTACACCTGGCTGTGTGTCAGGAGAACGTCCCGTGGGAGTGTGTTCTGGATCTGCTGGAGCATGGAGCCAGGATAGCGGTGGCCAACAAGGCTGGAGTGACGCCTGCTGAATGGCATTGGTCACCACTAACGTAACTATGTACATATGGTTACAGGACCGTCTGGGTAACACGGCTCTACACCTGGCTGTGTGTCAGGAGAACGTCCCGTGGGAGTGTGTTCTGGATCTGCTGGAGCATGGAGCCAGGATAGCGGTGGCCAACAAGGCTGGAGTGACGCCTGCTGAATGGCATTGGTCACCACTAACGTAACTATGTACATATGGTTACAGAACCGTCTGGGTAACACGGCTCTACACCTGGCTGTGTGTCAGGAGAACGTCCCGTGGGAGTGTGTTCTGGACCTGCTGGAGCATGGAGCCAGGATAGCGGTGGCCAACAAGGCTGGAGTGACGCCTGCTGAATGGCATTGGTCACCACTAACGTAACTATGTACATATGGTTACAGGACCGTCTGGGTAACACGGCTCTACACCTGGCTGTGTGTCAGGAGAACGTCCCGTGGGAGTGTGTTCTGGACCTGCTGGAGCATGGAGCCAGGATAGCGGTGTCCAACAAGGCTGGAGTGACGCCTGCTGACTTGTGTTCACCTCACCTCCTAGCGAGGCTGCAACATCACATGCTGCAGGATTGCTGGCAAGGGTTGGGTGATAAAAAGGAACCCTTCACTTCTAGCATAGGTAAGTAGAGAAATGGAACTCTAGAAATCACCAGCATTAGAGTAGTCTGAAGAAATGAATCTTGTAGGATGTTATTTTTTCGTTAGTTTTGTCAAATAAACCGTATCCCTAATACACTATAAGGAGTATAGTAGTGCTGCGTAGTTTTTTCATTGATTTAAAACTTATGTAATACTTTTCTTTTTATTTTTATTATAAGGTATTTATACGTGTTGAGAGTATAAGGAACATAGTTTTTCAATAGTACCATTCAGCTCCAACTTAAATCCCAAGCTACCCAAAGCTGACTATTAAAACCAGTTTACTTCCCACCATAAAGTTTATGCTTAGTAATTGTAGACTTAACTTACATTATGGCTTGTCTAATGGTAACGCTGTCAGCAATTAAAGCCTTACCTGCAATAAGTCTGTGTTCTTTATTGGGTCTGAAAACCTGTCAGTATTGATGTCTGAAAACCATTGAATCTGAATGAATGCATTACATGATATAATACAAATGTAATATATTTGTCCAGGAATATAGATAAATGAAAAGTATACGCCACCAGTTTTAGCCGTCACTAATTTCAGTGTATTCCATTTAAGAACGACGAAGTATTATGTATTTCAGTCTCTGGAGGATCGATATCCATCGCAAATGCCAACCGCACAGCCAACAACCCGTCGAGGATTCTCCGCAAGTTGCGGACGGCGCGAGCAGAGTCTGTGGAGGAAGCTACTAGTTGTGCCTCTGGAGACCAGCAGCTGTCTTCCACAGGCAGCATCCGCAGTCACGGCAGCACCAAGAGTCCGGATCTCGGGGCTCAGGCCATCAACGCCAAGGTCAGTCAATTTACTCAATCTACTATTATTTCACAGTTTTCTAAGCAAAACTAAAAACACTGATGGAATTCCGTTTTTCATTCCAATTTCCATTTTCCACTTATTTTGAGTGTACAGTATCACGTTTAGATAATAGCTGTTGAGACCAAAGAGAAACGTTGTCAACCTTAATTTAAGCTTACGATGAAAATATAGGCTTAGACCTATTTAATGTTATAGATTGGCTACCTAAATAGATTTGCTGTGGAAATAAATCAAACCAAAATTAAATAAACTAAATTGATTCTAACCAAATAATATTGGAAATGACTCAAATTCAAACCAAATTTGTAAAAGAAAATACTAACCACTGCACCAAAAACTCAGAGTTGGCTGTTTGGAATCCAGTATAATAATATTTAGCTCGAAATCTTAAAACTGAAAGCAGAAGGGTAAACATTCGAGATACTAAGGTTTTGCATTATGACGATTCAATGTTAACCTTCTTAATTCAATGTTTACACACTAATCCTTTACAACGAGAAAAGGGCTTTAACGTTGTTAAAAGAACAAGATCCAAAAGGGTCTCATGGTCTATTAAACATTATTAGCCTATGCTTATCAAACGTGTATATTGTTATGTGATTGTTTTGATATTGTTTAGTGTTTAGATTAAAAGGTGTGCTTTTTACTAACATAACAACAAAATGTATACAGTACAAAAGAATGAAATCTGCTTCTTACATAAGCAATGTCAACTACGTACGATACTACTATTTTAACAGATTAGAAGTAGACTGCAAAAGAAGATTTGGATAAATGACATTGACCAAAGACTGATGTCAAAGCTAACTAATGATTTTCCCCAAGTAAAGCTCGGTCCCTGCTATTGTAAATAATACGCAAACAAAACCTGTTCAAAAAGGTGGTTTACTAATCTGGTAATTATGCTAATGTATAAATGTACGCATAAGAACAATGTGGCAACTTTGGGAATAAAATGAAAACCAAAAGGGGGGACCCTCGAAATGTTAAAAAAAATAAAAAATAAAAATAAATAAATAGATGTTCATCCGTGTTATATTGGCTCTATTCGTGAAAATTTCATTTCGATTGGTCCGGTAGTTCAATTCATCGTGATTGCCCATGAGATATAAATAAAATCTTTTCTGGTATATTTATAATGCTAGTAACAAGATTCCATAATATTTTAGATTTAAATTAAATGTGATTGATGGGTAAGTTAATTACCATTACTAATTCTAAAAACGATAGCTAGGCTGCGACTAAATTGCAGTTCCCTCTATATGTAAGAAGAATGAGTAACAAAGACTAGTAGGCTAACTATTACATGAGTAGTAAGTACGTTGTAAACGAAATAACGATATTCTTTATCACCTATCAATAAACAGAACTAACAAACAAAAAAAGTAGACAATTGATTGACAAACGTCTTTCGCTTATTCAATCGTGTATAGCTTATTGATTCATGTTAATGAATAAAACTACCGATATTAATCAGTCAACACATAAAATGGTGTATTTTTGTCAGATACTATTGAATTACTGATACTGATATTAAATTGATTAGTAGTTTTATTGAATAAGTTGTACATTGACCATGGTATCGGTCAATAAGGTAAACGTATAAAGAAACGTTTTTCGGGTATACGAAATTCCTTTATCATCTTTAAGGATACTATTTTCTGTTATTAACGAACCATTAAAAATAAATCGTTGTGGTCGAAATAACATTTGACATGCCGATATGTATAGTGTTCCTCATTGATTATAAGGGATCCTTTCGACTTGGTATTATAATTTATATGAAAACTGCCATTACAGATTCATGCCATGGTTGAGTGTAGCCAGTGCAACAAGTAATAAACATAGACACCGTAATAGGTAATCACCCTACCAAACAATAAGATTATTATATTCGTTAAACCCCAAACACTGCACACCAGTGTTCACGAGGATTCGGCGCACGATAATGTAAGAGAAATAATGCTACCTTATAGCCACAATAGTAACACTATTAACCATAATCGTTACAAATTGAAAATTGTATTTTATTACAAATCAGGGATAGTTAATCACAAAAGTCCACAATTACGTTAAAGGCTGGAACCTTTTGAGATAGCATTCTTGGGAATTTTTTCGCTCGGGTTCCAAGCTGTAAAAAGAACATCACAACCCTCATCTTGAGGAACTGAAATCAAACAACTTTTTGTAAAACAATTTAGCATTTCTCCAACTCGAAGCTGGATTCTTGTTTGTAACTTGTTTAAAACTTGTTATTCATGAGTCTCTAAACTTTCAACATTCCTTCAAATATTTATAATCAACTTATCTGTTAAACAACAGATACTTTGGCTAATTTCAAATGCTCAAGAATATACAATTATTTCAAATGGTTAAGAAATAGTTTTGCATGCTAAATATGTTATTTGTTGTTTATAATTTATTAAATAACTTCTTGATCAGCATTGTACGTGTTATTAAATTTACGGAAAGTAAATAAAGATACGTCTTATAACACTTAAAACATATATTTACGCTTATACTGTTACTCACAAGACGGTAAATATACAAAAGATGGTAAGTGGTGATCGATTTCGATTGGACACTCCAATCATCATCAGACCCAATAGGCGAATCTTGTGAGTAACAGTATAAGCGTAAATATATGTTTTAAGTGTTATAAGACGTATCTTTATTTACTTTCCGTATAATTAATTGTAAGAATATTTTATTTTATTTTAAAAATTTACTATGACGATTCATAGTACGTTTGTACACTTAATTATCAAACGTGACCCAAGAGGTATTATTTAAAGAATGCAGCGAAAGCAATCTGATACGGCGTCCCACTTAAAATATATTTCATAAACTATTTCAAGCACTCGCTTCAGCTAAGAAATCTGCAATAAAAAATAACGAGAAACTACTAACAGACGAGAACTAACGAGATTTGCATTTAAGTTAAAGACACTGTTACGAGATTCGTATTTATATTATATCATTTAAGCTGTCCTAGTTTATATTTATTTAGCTTTATTATAGTCGGATCGGTATATGTAAATTAGTATAAAAAAAAAATGTTTTTTACCTTGATAGCAATATTTGAAAATTATATTAAATGCATTTACTTATATGAACATATATCATGCTTTTTATTAGAAAACAAGATTAGTACACTTTACCTTAATTTATTTCCATTTAAGTTACACCACATAATGGTAGAACCATTTCGCTACATTCACTCACTCTTTGCACATTTACAGAATGTGAACGATCCTGGTAACAACACACCATCACCATATCGTATTACGGTGATGTTGTAGTGAAGCCTCATGACCTTGCAGTCTAGATACGAATACAAAATGAACAAATAAAACACGTGCTTTAGCAACATTGTTACTTAAACAACTAAATATCCTAGGAGGAAATGTACGTGTAAAAGGTTTACTGAAATCTTTAAGATAATATAAAGTTCAAACCGCTGAAGACGGCTGTGTATATTTCTCCGATCATAGCTTTACTAATTATTGACGTAAATTGTTGCCAAAATATAATGTACATGTCTCTAATGGTCTAAGTTTCAAAAACAACGTTTACTTTGAGAGGACTGTAAAGGATTGGAAAGCATAAGAACAAAGTTCTTTTCATCTGGAGTTGTGGGAACTAATTCTGCACCAAGAAGCCCGTTACATAACGTTGAGCAGTAGCAGCTTCTGTGACTGTAACTCCATCGTCACAAATCCAATTTGTCTGCAACATTCACCAGGTTACGCGTCTTGCGCTCAAGTAACTCACTTACCAATAATTATTGTTTATTAAGTCGTAGAGCTTTGTCTTTGTGAAAATACTTGAGCTTATTTGTTTGACGATTAAATAAACTAGGCCTATCTTGTTTTACGAATTAAGACATTTTTTTATGTCAATGGGTGAATTGATTAATTTATAAACATTTGTTTATAGATCATGTAATTTTAAGATAATATTTTACTTAAAGTTTAAATAACTGCTAGTAGATTAGAAAACAAGATTAGTACACTTTACCTTAATCTATTTCCATTTAAGTTACACCAAACAATGGTAGAACCATTTCGCTACATTCACTCACTCTTTGCACATTTACTCGTCGTATGTGAACGATCCTGATAACAACACACCATCACCATATCGTATTGCGGTGATGTTGTAGTGAAGCCTCATGACCTTGCAGTCTAGATACGAATACAAAATGTACAAATAAAACATGTGCTTTAGCAGCATTGTTACTTAAACAACTAAATATCATATGAGGAAATGTACGTGTAAAAGGTTACTGAAATCTTTAAGATAGTATAAAGTTCAAACCACTGAAGACGGCTGTGTATATTTCTCCAATCGTAGCTTTACTAAAGCCTTATTGACGTAAATTGTTGTCAATATATAATGTACATATCACTAATGGTCTAAGTTTCAAAAGCAACGTTTAGTTTGAGAGAACTGCAAAGGATTGGAAAGAATAAGAACATAAGATATTTCTTCCATTTCTTTTCAGACGCACCAATTCGCAGCTCCTGCATGGAGCCATCATCAAGTGGTACATAGGATTTTTTTTATCTCATCGTGGGAAGATCTCATATGTTATACAATGTAAAATTAAACATTTAAAATTGACAAACACACGAACACGACACATTTACGGTAGCTGATCAGTTAGGATAACGGACAACGCTAGCCCAATGAGTTTAAGTACCAGTCTGGATCTTTAATTTAATAAATTGCCTAATAGCAGGTATTTAAACTTTTTTATTACAATTGTGTATTCAGAGGATAATATCTACAGACAGTCAGTGTGTCTGTGTGTGTGCGAGTGCGTATGTGTACATAGCTACAGTTTCTCCAGGCGTTTTTATCTTTGTTGACATTTTAATTTTAATGGTGATTTTCCCATAAAACCCTATAAAATAACGGAGAAATTGAATTCTTACAATTTCACCCGAGTGATATTGATTATTTATTGAATT